TCGTTGCATGACCATCTCCTTATCAACATTGTCAAGTATATCTTTCTCAACATATAGAATTAGGCTATCATTCAAGAATTGATCTCCCATCCGATTGCGTAAATAAGTCTTTACAATTTTCATAGCAAAAAATGTCATTTCTACACTTGCAGTTGCAACTGGTAAGGTTAAAGCCAATGTGATGAGCAAATATACCAATGAGAAAATAAGATGCTTCTTCTTTTCAATCATTTTCTGAGCAAGACTGGTAATATCATTTAGTTTTGAAAAATTACTATTTGAGCGCATATCATCAATGTAATTATCAAGTTGAAGTTCAAGTGTCGGAAGATTAGTAGAAGAAAATTCAAGTGGATAAAATTGAGCAAAACAAACTAATTTTCCCTTATCAAATGCTTGAAAGCAATCACTTGGATTTAGGGAGGCCATGCAAATAATAATTTTGTATTACCTTCATCAAAACGACTGTTAAGCTCTGATAGTTGCAAATCTATTATGGCATAGAACAACTCAACACGATAATGAAATAAATTTGTCATCTCTTGAACATTACGCCGCGATCTCTCTCGTGCAACAAATTTCTCTTGCATATTTGGCATATCTATATTATGAGCAATACAAAAATGAGAAACTTCATCAAGTCGATTATCCCATCCATTATTTCTTATCAACAATAATCTTCTTTTTGACAAGTGAACCAAAGACATAGCATTTATAATATCTTGATCCTTCCTTTGCAATGCTTGTGAAAGTTCAAATGTGATTCCCAAAATGTTTTTCATCATGTGCAGGTTAAAAGCAAAATAAAAAGAAGTCACATAATCCACCAAATCACTTGCTTCAACTCTATTATCAGAATTTTCAGGGGGTGTTTGTCTGAGTTTATGAAAATTAGTTGCGTTTGTCTAAGCTTATGAAAATTAGCTTATAAGCAACCATTGCTTATAAGCTAAAATTAACTTATAAGCATTTGAAATTTTAAGCAATTACGTCTTTGGTTAAAATACTTATAAGTGACTGATAAGTAATTGATGTGTTTGGTAAAATGTGGCTTATAAGTACATTTTATTATAAAATTACTAAAAAATGTACTACATTAAACAATGACATACTATGGAATTTTAAAATTAAACAAGGATAATGTGGTAATATACTTGGTCAAACTAGCTTATAAGCAAAGTGCTTATAAGCCAAAAAAAAAAAAGTACCTCTCCCCCCAACTTATTTTTTTTAGCTTATAAGCTCAACTTATGAGCTCAAAAAAATTATAAACAAACAGGTCAGTTTAATTTTAGAGCTTATAAGCAAGTTTGACCAGCTTATAAGTTTAGACAAACACCCCCAAACAACAATTGCTTATAAGCTAAAATTAGCTTATAAGCATTTGAAATTTTAAGCAATTACGTGTTTGGTTAAAGTACTTATAAGTGATTGATAAGTAGTTAACGTGTTTGGTAAAATATGGCTTATAAGTACATTTTATTATAAAATAACTAAAAAATGTACTACATTAAATAAGGGTATACTATGAAATTTTAAAATTAAACAAAGATAATATAGTAATATACTTGGTCAAACTAATTTATAAGTAGAGTGTTTATAAGGAAAAAAAAAAAAAAGTACCTCCCCCCCAACTTATTTTTTTGGCTTATAAGCTCAAAAAAGTTATAAACAAACAAGTCAACTTAATTTTAGAGCTTATAAGCTAGTTTGACCAGCTTATAAGCTTAGACAAACACCCCCTCAATAAGATCCTCAAGCACTTCAATAATAGATGAAAACAAATTAATCAAGCTCAATAAAGTCCCATAATGTGAACCTCACCAGGTTTCCCCTGGTCGCTTAAGACTAGTTTCTTGATTAAGACCTTGCCCTGTTGAAAGCTCACCACTTTCAATAGCTTTTTTTACCTTCAAAGCTTGTTTCTCATTAAGAAGATCCCTACGTCTAGGTGACCATCCAACAATATTTATCACACAAGAAACTTTCAAAAAAAGTCTCTCAATATTTGTATCCTTTTTTGCCACAACTACAAGTGTCAATTGAAGTTGGTGAGCAAAACAATGAACATAGAAGGCATATTCATTATCTTTCAATATAAGTGTTTTTAACCCATTAAACTGGCCTCGCATATTACTCGCACCATCATAACCTTGTCCACGTAATCTTGATATGCTCAAATTGTATTTAGAGAACAATGTTTTGATTCCCATCTTTAGTGACAAAGCAGTCGTATCCGTGACATGCATAATGCTCAATAGACACTCAACAACACATCCTCTTTTATTTACATAACGTAAGATAATTGTCATTTGCTCTTTGTTGGATCCATCACGAGCTTCATCAACTAGTATAGAAAAAAAAAGCATCTCCAAGATCACTAATTAGTTTGTTGATGGTTTCAACTGCAAATGCATTGATTATATCTTTTTAGATACTAGGAGCAATCAATTTATCATGTCCAGGAGCATTCTCCAATGCGACTAATCTATATTCTTCATTTTGCTCAGCTGTATAGTGTAAAAGTTCAAGAAAGTTTCCCCGATTCATTGAATTAACAGACTCATCATGGCCACGAAAAGGCAATCCTTGTCGAAGAAGAAACCGACTAGCAGAAATTGATCCTTTCAACCGAATACGATAATCTTCTCACCGTTGGTCAGATTTCTTATTAATAATTGTACTTACATGCTGCTTTTGGTTCATCAAAGCTTGACAATTTTTCACCGCTTGATTATGATAGCTGTTAGGACCTCCAATATGATATTAAAATTTTTCAAGTCTCTTCCAATTGCGAAACCCATCAAGAACAAAAGAATCACCGCCACTTTGCTCACCTTTATCTGGTTTGAAAAGATAACAACATAAACAATATGCAGCATCCTTCTCAACACTATATTCCAAACAGTTAGGATATTTGTCAAACCAAGAACGCTGGAAACTCCGTTCATGATCACCAAATTTTGATTTGGGAAACTTATGGTTGCGAGGTTGACAAGGACGGTTTTGTAGATAACGTATTCTGACTTGGTTTCGAACATTAAGATGATAAAACGTAATTCTTGGTCGAAATCCAAGATCAAAAGAAAGATTTTCCAAGTCAACTTCGAAGCAATTTTTCTTTGAAAAATGTTGGTTTTCATGATCATTGACACCAAAACAAAGTTGAGATGTCTTAGCAGTTGACTTTCTTTTAAAATATTTTTTCATATCTAAATACAAAGAAATAAAATTATATAAATACAAATAAATAAATTAACTCACAAATTGAATTCTATAATAACTATAGAAATTCTAAATTTTCCAACTTAAAGTTTTTTAATTATCAACTTAAAGTCTTAAAGACTTGAACAATACATAAAAATAAAACCCTCCTTGATTCTATCTATATTTCTATTTCTATTATCTATATATTATTTTTCTTCCAAATTTTGGGACCACAAAATAATCATTTACCTATCACAAAATATTGGAATCTAAAATTTTTTCCTTTTTTCCTAAAAGTTTTCTCAATAAAAAATTCAATGCACAATACTATTATACTAATACACACAAATAACAAAAAAACACTTTATACAAAGAAAAAAGTATTAACCAGAGAGAAATTAACTGATAAAATTTTGTTGAAGAAGAATTAGGGAGAGCACCAGTCCAGCACAGGAGTTGTGGAAGATGCAAGCGACCACTGCACTGACTTACCGAGGGTTTGCAAATTGCAACTGCAAAGGAAGATTCTAGTTTTTACACGTTTCATTAAAAAATTGAAGGTGGGTGGTGGGCAAGTTTTTTAGTACTAAAGGCGAGAATAGACCAAGACTTTTAGTTCAAAAATTGAGAGTGGGCCACAATTTTTTAATATTTGACAATAAAAATGAAGGGTGGGCCAAAATCAAACTAAATAGAATAATATATTTAATTTTTTTAAAAAAAAAATTGAGGGTGGGCCCTTAATATACTTTGTATCCGCCCCTGGTTTGTACCATATTCCAAAAGTAAAAACTTATAATCCTAATGCTACCCAATTACAGAAAAATTGAATTTTTTTTTTTTTTTCAGTAATTAGGGTGTCCAAGCAGCTTGTACTTACCTCAACTAATCCCTGAAGTTTATTGAATATTTCACAACTCCAAAAGATTAAGTAAATCATAATATTATTATGATAGGTTACCTCAAGATTTGAATCAAAAAATTTAAGAAAATGAACAAATTTCCTTGACCACCAAGCGAACTCCTTGAGTTTTCAAAAGCGAATTCTTTACATTATGCCCAGCACGGCCATATCTCTCTGTCAAATGCCACTAAAATTGGATAATTCATCAGTTTTTAGTGTTACAAGTTAAGTATAAATTCTGGGTTGAATTTGTTTCTTTTTTTTTTTTTTAACTTTAGAATTGAAGGGTCCAAATATATATCTCATGTAACACGATTCAACAACTTTATGGAGAAAATTAGTTGGTACAGCTCAAGTTTGACGACATTATGTCGCATCCCACATGTTTAAAACAAAGTAACACTTACACTTTCAAGTCAATAAAGAGAAGCAAGAAGAGCAGCAACACAGAAGATACAATACAATGCAAAGTCCAAAAATCACCTAAATCTTGGGAAACACTGAATATTAAATTTACAATTTTCTTTAAACATATTTATTACTGAGATTGGAAATCATTTTTTTCTTTTAAATATTGTTCGAATAGAGATGTTTAAAAAAAAAAATGAATTAAATATACTTGGAAGATTAAACTAGTAAAATGGAATTGGAGAGAGGAATGTGTTATAAAACAAGGGTAGTTTAATCTTTGAAGTTTGAACAATAGATTTGGTTTAGATTTGGACGACAGATTTTAGTACATGGGCCGTCAACTTTAGTGGGGTATTATATAATTTATATTTACCTTTTGCGAGCCTGTGGGTTGTCATTGTTAATTTTCGAAACCTTTTGGTTTCTTTAAAAACCTGAAGGGTGTTAAATGTTAATGTAATATTCCTCAAACTTCATATCCAATTTCGGAATCCGATTGTGCGATCCCCAGGAAGATTTGTCACATTTGTATGGCCAAAACACACCATATTTACAGTATCAATCACTTAACCACGAAAACCTACTTCTGTCGTCATCTTTTTGCCTAAACTTGATTGGTTGTGAAAAACATTACTGCAGGTTGCCCAAGGCAGACATCAGGTGATTAACATCGACCCCGGACACTAACAACTTTGATAAACACCGGTAAGTGAACACTCCAGAGTTCTCATTCTGCTTCAATATAAGAGATTAAGTTTTATGAATCTGTCATCATCGAAGTTCCAGAATTACCGAAGCTCTCGAGGTTAATAAATATTTAATTAATATATATTAGAACCTGTTTGACCAAGTGGTCTTCTATTTTTCATTTATTTTCATGTTCCTTGTGAACAGAATCGTGCCTAAAGATACATTTAAAGAGGCAAGGCTGCTGGGAAAGCTGACAGAAAATGAAGACTATTGTTATGGCAAGCCGGAGTTCAAAGGATCACATTACCATTAATACTGAATCTTTAGCATCCTCCTTTGAGAATATAATGGCGGATAACCTCTTCATGTCACCCAATTGTTGTATCTTCAGAACCCCAAAAATACTCCTCAGGCACAACGAAAAAGCATATCACCCCAATGCATTTTCAATTGGGCCCTTTCATCATGAAACAGAACAATTGAAACCCACAGAAAAAATCAAATTGAAGTATTTGCAAGGCATCCTCCAACGATCCCTACGGCCAAAGGAAAGATTGAGGCAGCTGATTGAAGCCATCAGGGTTGTCCAAGTAGAAGCCCGTGAGTATTATGCAGGTCCAGTTACGTTAAATGTTGAAGAATTCGTAAAAATTATGGTGCTTGATGGTTGCTTCATTATTGAGCTGCTCCGCAAAGATGCAGACGAGGTAGCAAAAGATCCAGATGACCCCATATTTACCATGTCTTGTTTACAAGAATTTTTAAACCATGACCTGATTTTGCTAGAAAATCAAATTCCTTGGCTGGTGCTCGATTGTTTGTTTAACTTGAGCATGCCTCCAGGAGGAGGCAAGTCCCTAATTCAACTAACCCTTGATTTCTTCGCCAACATATTTTCATCCTCTAAACCTTCTATAACACCAGACCAGTTCAATGACCTTAAAATCATGCATATTCTTGACCTATTGAGGCATTCATTGCTTTTGCCATTCAGAAACGACGAACCGGATGAAAAGCATTTGGGATGGCAGCCCTTCCCGTGTGCCAAAAGTTTGAAAGATGCTGGAATCAAATTCAAGAGAGTATCTTCTAGTAGCATTTTGGATATAACATTTAGCAATGGGGTTCTTGAGATCCCACCTCTGTTACTTCAGGAAACTACAGAATCAATCTTGCGGAATCTGATCAGCTTCGAGCAATGCTACCCGAATTGCCCGCCAAGAATCACTTCGTATGCAAAACTCATGGATTACCTCATTGACACCACTAAGGACATGGAGATACTTTGTGAGAATGATATTTTTGATAACTGGTTGAATCTTGAGGACGCCACTCAATTCTTCAACCAGTTATACACTGATGCTTATGTGAAGAAATTCTATTACCATGAACTTTGCCGTCAAGTGAACTCCTACTGCAAACAATTCTGGCCTAGATGGCGCTTCTTTTACGTGCACAACTACTTTGGCAAGCCCTGGGCTGTCACTGCTCAGATTGTTGTTGCTATCTTCTTGGTTTTCGCCTTCTTACATACCTATTATACCATTAAAAATGATGATTGACTGTTTGGTTGACTTCCATTAATTTGCTTTGTATTTCAGTTGTATTTGTTTGATTAGAAATACGTTTTACTTGGTAAACTTAATTAGTTGTTGAGCTAGAGCTGGCTTTGTATGAACAAAATCTGATTTTGTTTTTGTTTGTTTGTTTGTGAAACAAGTGTGAATGGGTTTGTTGTTAATTTGCATCAGTTTGTAAAATTATGGAATCCCAAATTGAAACTGAAGAAGAGTCAGAAACAAAAATGTCCCAAAAATTTAGTTTTAACAAGAGATGAAAAAATTTCAAGGGTCAAAGACTCTAAATGTTCTAGTAGTGCAAATCCGATAAGCTTCTTCATGGGCAAGCCGGTGTTGTTGTTTCATCATAAAGCAAAACTCTAGTCTATTAAAATATATAAAAGCTAAAGATAATCTTATTCTTATCGTCTAGACCAAGCAATTTAAAAGCAGTAGGAAGTAGGAACACACCTTTCCAATCAATAAAAAGAAATATATAACTTATAAATTATAATTATTCTTGAAGAAAGGAATCATGGACCTTCTTTATCTATCTGAAACTGGATAATTAATGAAGGCAATTAAAGGACACAATGGAATTTTACCTTTCTTCTTTTGCCTTTGTTCTTTTTTCTTTATACAATAATACTACGGACACCAGTAGTTTTGTATCGAAATATTATATCGGCCTCCGCATAACATGTTTTTGATTTTTTTAATAATTTTTTTTTAGTGAATAGTCATCCATTAAATTTGGACGACCATTCACTCACATAGACGCCCGTCCATATTATATGGATAGAAGTTCATATACTAGGGACGGACGTCCCTATTTAATAGGGATGTCCATAAGTAAAATGAAATAAATTTTTTTTATAAAAATTAGAGACGGTCGTTCATCCGTTATAGACGTACGATCCCTTCATTTTGGACGAACATTCGCAAATCTTTAACTAAAATATGAAAATAAAAAAAAAAAATTTTAAAAATGACCATCAATAAATTTTGGACGGACGTCCATTAGTCCATTAGAAATGGACGCCTCGTCCCTTCGGTTTGGACGGGTCCCATACTTTTAAAAAAAAAAAAACACCTTCTTTGCTCTTCTTCTTCTTCGCTCCACTCCATCCCTGTAACACCTCAAATCCATTTTGCAGCAATCAGAACTACCTTGACATCTTACTGAACTTCAGAAAATATATATTAATCATGGATCACCTACAGCTCAACTGTGACTTTTTCATTCTTTCCTTTGACAGGCCCGTTGCTGAACTTGAGCTGCAGACTTAGATCTAAGAATCTCATGGCACTGGTCCATGGTCTCAATCTTGCTAGGTGAACCCGCTAACGGCGCACCATCTGAACTCATCATAGCGCCTGAATCCCCATGAATAAATCTGCAACTACTTCCATTTTTGCAGTACCCTCTAACATAATACAAACATGGCCTCCACCCAAACCCATTTTTGCGGCAAGTGATCAAAACAACTTCATCCTCCTCCTTCCAAGCATTAGCTAGAAAGATAATTAATATTGAAAATAAGAAAGAGCAAACTGTATTTCATATATGTTAATTACAAATGAAATGAAGTACAATTATTCAAGAAGTATTGTTGCAAACTTTTTATTCCAGTTTATAAGCAGATAATGAGAGAATTATTAAGAACAGTGCAGACTTTTAAGTTTAAGAGAGTATGTTGACAGACCATTATGGACTATGAAGCAGTTTGGAAGCTCAAACCATCTGATTTGAACCTCATCCTTTGCACACCGTGGAAGTACACCAAAACGAGCTTTAATCGTTGGATCAAATGTCAATATCAGCTTGTTTTCTTTCACCATTTCCTATAAATTTATATGGGATAAAACACTTTCATGTTCTCCTTTCGAATTCATGAAAATTTTGAAATCTACAAGAAGTAAAAAGTTCAGAAAATATAGACTTGTTCAACGGGCCTGTCAAAGGAAAGAATGAAAAAGTCACAGCTGAGCTGTAGGTGATCCATGATTAATATATATTTTCTGAAGTTCAGTAAGATGTCAAGGTATTTCTGATTGCTGCAAAATGGATTTGAGGTGTTACAGAGATGGAGTGGAGTGAAGAAGAAGAAGAAGAAGAAGAAGAAGAGCGAAGAAGGTGTTTTTTTTTTTAATGTATGGGCATCCATTCCTAATGGACGACCGGTCGTCCCAATTTTTTTTTTTTTTTATTTTCATATTTTGGTTAAGGATGGATGTCCTTTATTTGCGAATGTCTGTCCAAAATAAAGGGACGGCTGTTTATAACGGATGAATGGCCGTCCTTAATTTTTATAAAAAAAAATTATTCCATTTTACTTATGGATGAGCGTCCATTAAATGGAGAAGCCCGTCCCTGATATATGGATCACGTCCATATAATATGGACGGGCGTCTATGTGAGTGAACGACTGTCCAAATTTGATGGACGGTCATTCACTAGAAAAAAATTATTAAAAAAATCAGAAATATATTACACGTCGGCCGGTACAATATTTCAGTACAAAAATCCTAGTGTCCGTAGTATTATTGTTCTTTATACAATATCCTGGGTATTATTTCAAACTGATAAAACATATTTCAAAAACAAGAAAACATTAAAAATCTTTCCTCTTTTATCTTTTTTCTTTAAATTCTGTATATTATTTTCAAACTGATTTCAAAAACCAAACTGATAAAACATTTCAAAAACCAAAAATTAAAACCACGCCCACCGTGGGGCTCGAACCCACGACCACAAGGTTAAGAGCCTTGCGCTCTACCGACTGAGCTAGACGGGCTGCTTGTGACCCGGATCAAGTAAAATTTATGTATTGGCTAAATAAACCTTCAGAGCTTTTTCTTAAAAAAAAAAAAAAATTTATTTCTTGAATCCAAATTGCATCCTGACCTCACATCTGAATGAAAGTTGAGCAAACAGGAAGGAGCATGGTTCTAGTTCTAATGTATATAAAATGACTTATTAATCATAATTAACAATCAAAATGTTTAAGTAATTTGATCAAGTTAAAAAATAACTTACTGGGGCCATGCCTATGAGAGAGCAACAAGTTTCATTTTTTTTATTTTTTAGAAGTGAGCTATGGCTTTCCAATCCAATAACTCAATGGCTCTGGTAACATAATAATTAAGGTCAGCATGCGGCGTATTAGTCTAAAATCTCATTTATTATTTTCTGGGCGAACGACATGCACCATCTATAATTTGTCATAAAGACTCTGACATTTAAAAGTTTTAAAAATGATAATTATCCATTTTCTGTCTAAATCTATTAGTAAAATATGTTTTAGTAAAAATAATATAATAATTTTAAATTAATCCATAAATCCTTAATATTTTTATCCTATTTTTTTATTTAATTTTTCTCTTCTCTCTCTTATCTTCTTTTTATCTCTCTCTCTCTCTCTTTCCTTTTCTCCGTCTTTTCCCTCCTCCCCTTCTCTTTTTTCACTTTTCTTTTCCCTCTTTTCCCTTCTCTTTCTTTCCTTTCTTCTCCGTCTTTTCCCTCCTCCCCTTCTCTTTTTTACTTTCCAGCTTTCTTTTCCAGTTCTTCTGCATCAGAGTTACTCTTACTAGACCCCTTGTCCCTCTCTTTTCTTCTTTCCTGACGCTTTCTTTCCGCTTCTCTCTTACTATCCTTCTCCTTGACATAAGGTGAAGTTATGCCGCGTTCTTTTTCAGCCTCCATCTTCTCATCCCTGAGTCTCCCATGTGCCTCCACCAACCTGGCAACCTCCTCCCTCTGTTTTCGCTCTTCCTCTTCCAAAAGCTCCTTCTCTAACCTAGCCCGTCTCTTCTCCTCAGCTTTTCTGCGTGCTTTCTCTCCTCTACTTTCATGGTAATTTAACCCATTTTCACCCCTCTTAGCCGTCATGCCTCTATGATCTGCATTAGACGAAGAATCTTCATGTGATGAACTAATTCTAAAAATCTTTCTCAAAAGCCACCTAATGGAATACGGAGAAGGGGAGGAGGGAAAAGACGGAGAAAAAGAAAGAAAGAGAAGGGAGAGATGAAGAAGAAAATAAGAGAGGGAAGAGAAAAATGAAATAAAAAAATTAGAGATTTATGGATTAATTTAAAATTAATGGATATAAAATTATTATATTACTTTTATTTAAATAGATTTTATTAATAGATTTGGAGAGGAAGTAGATAATTATCATTTTCAAACATTTTGGTAGGCTACCAAATTATGTTTATGACAAACTATGGAATTACCTTTATGATTGTTTGAATTTGAGTTGGGCCTAACTCCTCACCCAAAAGGTCTTATTGAGTAGAAGGATTGTCCACTCTTATAAACCCATTGGCTTGAGTGTGCCTAGTCGATATGGGATCTCTAATACTTCCCCTCACGGTCAAGTCTATATGGTCCACTTACCTATGAATGGAGGTAGTTTGGTAGTCCACCGCTGGTCAATCACTCAACTTAAATGAAGCTAGCTCTGATACCATGTTAGAATTTGAGTTGGGCCTAACTCCTCACCCAAAAGGCCTTATTGAGTGGGAGGATTGTCCACTCTTATAAACCCATTAACTTGAGTGTGTCTAATCGATATGGATCTCCAACAATGACAAACTATGGGCATGTCGTTCGGCCTTATTTTCTGTTAGAATTGATTGCGCCAAAGTGAAACTCATGATTCCGTTCCTAGAGGGAGTCAACTGTATGAAAAAGAAAGCCCCGATCGAGGCTGAGGCCTGAACGGCTGAACGTGGGTCTTCCTGTTAATTCATTGGTTGAAATTGGTGGTTGCGGAAGTTTTGGGGGTTGTGGAGTTATCTTCTAGAGGGTCTTTAAGACTTTAAATAATGAATAGTGTTTCTTCTTCTTTGAATATTCCTTTCACAAATGAAAATGAATAAATATTTGATGGTCTCGTCTCATGCATGATTAACGATTAACGTCCACAACGTCAACGGTCTTCGCTCTTTTTTACGATTGAATTCCCTCCACTTTCCTGGAAACCTGATCCCTTCTGGCTCACCCCCAAACACTAAGTTAAAGTAATTTTAATATAGAGCTAGCTGGTCAACTCACGCCCCGTGTTTCTCAATCTTCGAATGCAACTCCATTTCAAACTCTTTCAACACCGCCTTTCCCCTTTCTATAAATACACTCAAACCAACCTCATTGCCAAATCCTTTAATCTATCTAATTCGATTGCTCCTACAAGTTCCTTTGGGAAATGAAAAAAAACCAGCAATACGAGCGCGTTTTCAATCACTTTGATTACAATGGAGACGGGAAGATTTCACCTTTAGAGCTACACCAGTGTGTTGAAGCGATAGGTGGGGAGCTTTCATTGGCGGAGGCTGAGACGGCGGTGGAGTTCTTAGACACGGATGGAGATGGGCTGCTGGGGTTTGATGACTTCGTCAAGTTTGTTGAAGGAGGTAAAGAAGAAGAGAAAGTGAATGATTTGAAGGAGGCGTTTAAGATGTATGAGATGGATGGGTGTGGATGTATAACTCCCAAAAGTTTGAAAAAGATGCTTAGCAGACTAGGTCAGTCCACAACAATTGATCAATGTAAGGTGATGATAGCTCAATTTGATCTCAATGGCGATGGCGTCCTCAATTTTGATGAGTTTAGGGTCATGATGTTATGATTAATAATATCATGCTGTATAATACTATCATACATTCATTGATTATTTCGTTCTTCACCCCGTGATGTAATAATTAATCTCTTTGGCAGATTATTCCATACCTATATATATAATTTTTTCTTCATATACAGTGTTCCATTAATTGTCTAATGCAATGTTGTTTCGTTGCTGATAATCAGAAGATCGAGATAGCTGTTTGGTTTAGTAGACATATAAAATTATGAGGTAATTGAACTTGGATTGGTTTTATCTTTATTACTTAACTTGTTTACTGCAAGGCCGGCTCAAGGGATAGGCAGATGAGGCACCTGCCTAGGGCCCCAAAAAATAGAGTAAAAAAGGGTCAAATTTTTTATAAATTTTTTTTTAAATATATTACAAAAATAAAAATAGTGTATATTCTTATCTAGGTCAATCCAAGAGACCCCCAAAAAAACCAAAAGACATAAATTTATTATGAACTTTTTATATATATTCTCACCCAAAGTTTGACGAAATAGTAAGTTTGTACCTCTAATTTCATATATTCTAATTACACCTTTAAATTAACACATTGAATTTCTTTTAATAATGAAAGGCTAAAATTGTCATTTACATATCTCAAATTACTCACTCCCAATTCAATCCCAAAATTCGACATTCACATAAATCATCTTCACCCCTCTTCCGCCGCCGACCGTTTGGAGCTGATTCTGATCGATTTTCTCACCAAAATCGACTGGAACCATCACTTTATCATTTTCCAAGTGTTTTTTCAGCCTTGGTAGCCCTTGATTTGGCCAATTTTTTACGAATCTCATAACCTAACTCCACCGTGTGCAACAGTCATTTCCTGCTTTTTCGGCATGTACCTGACATCGTTGACCTTCCCCAACAGCACAATTTTCCTTCATTCAGCTTTCTCACCAAAACCTCTATCATACCTCATCCATTTACTCCGCCATAGCCGGCCACCGATACCTTTTGGGCCACAACTTCTCAAGTCTTTTTCACTCAATCCTGGCATTGGAAATCATCCATTTCACCACCCATCACTTCTCCAATATCTGTTCTCCAAAACCTCCCACCAACTTAACCCCATTAGCCTGTCAGTTGTCGTCCACCTTTCCTAGTGATTTTGTATCTCAAAAAGTAAGGAAAATAAATTTGAAATAATTTTTTTAATATATGCTTATATTATTAGAAGGCCTCTAAAATAACTTTTGTTAAGTGTCATAAATGTTCTTGAGACGGTCATATTGTTTAGATAGCTGTAGAATAATTAAGCTCAATGCAAACGAATATGAAGATGTGGCTGCGATATTCTGAGCTCAAATGGAAACGCAGATTAAGATGTGGGTTGTGATATTCTTGTCTTATGGGCAGGCGTTTAATGAGTGTCAATTGCATTGCATCTCACATTTTCTTAGAACGTATATGAAAGAAACCGGGTCCAAATAAGGGGCTGAAGACTCCAGTAATTTTTGTAAGTTTGTCAAAGTTTATTGACGTGGGGTTAGCCTGTTTGCGACTTTGACAAATTGAACAGCCAGTCAATCAGCATATTGTACGTGTTGGCAGACATATAATTTTGTATCAATAAAATAAGGTTTATAATCTCTAATTTGTCATGTGTTAATTATCTCTAATAGTTGAGGAATGTGAACGCAATAATGGGTGGGTGGAGAATGAGTCACTAATTTCATGAGAGTGATGAAGGGACGCTTTAGCCTGTTGGAGTTTATATTTCCTTTAGAAACTTTCGGTTTCTCTTATAATTTTCCTTTAGAAAATTACATGAGATTATGTTACAAATACATGTAAATTATACATGTATCTCTAAAAAGAATACTATATCTCTACAAATATACAAAATTTGAGATACGAATTTGAGGTGTATGATAGTATTTTTTATATGATTATTTTTACGTATACCTCAATAATAATATCACAACTAAACTTGGGATGTATTCATAAATGTTATAAATACAGAAAAGTAAAGGTAGAGTCATAAAGAGTAGTCTATTCAATTTTTGGAAATATCATTAATCACCTCCTTTATAGACCCTTATTAACTCACACTTAGTATTTATAGTTTAATTCAATTGGGAATGTCTCGTAAATTTTTTTTTTCCTGATCAGTTCAATAAGTTCATGGAAAACATTTCAATTTATTTATCTATAATTTTAATATAATGGATTTGTGTGGACCTGTTTGTCCATTAAAGTGGGACATAAGTTGGGTTCAAAATGTTGTGAGACAATCCAGTGATTCAGTCTATATTTGATGTGGGCGACAGAGCATTGAGAAGACATTTGCCTACTACGAAAGAATCAGGAAGGACACATCTTTCTGGTACCAGTTATTGTAAATATATATATTATTCTCTTATTTATATCTTAACAATATTCTTTATAATTTTTGAAATAAAATATACATATTTACAAATATTTACAAATAAAGTAGGCAAAAAATGTCTCTCTTTTTCTTACAAATAAATGGCTTATAATTTAAACCATCGACTTAATGAGTATTTGTCTAAGCTTATAAGCTCTAAAATTAAGCTGAGTTATTTGTTTCTAACTTTTTTGAGTTTATAAGTTGAGCTTATAAGCTAAAAAAAATAAGTTGGGGGGAGGTACTTTTCTTTTTTTGCTTATAAGCACTCTGCTTATAAGCTAGTGCTTACGAGTTTGGTTAAAGTACTTATAAGTGACTGATAAGTAATTGACGTGTTTGGTAAAATGTGGCTTATAAGTACATTTTATTATAAAATTACTAAAAAATGTACTACATTAAACAAAGGCATACTATGGAATTTTAAAATTAAACAAGGATAATGTGGTACCCTTGTTTAATGTAGTACCCTTTTTAGTCATTTTATAATAAAATGTAATTATAAGCCACATTTTACCAAACACGTCAAATACTTATCAGTCACTTATAAGTACTTCAACTAAACACGTAATTGCTTAAAATTTCAAATGCTTATAAGCTAAAATTAGCTTATAAGCACTTGTTGCTTATAAGCTAATTTTCATAAGCTCAAACAAACGCCCCCTAATAGTAATAAACACAATAGTGCAGAACACTATAGGACACAACGGATTACTTATCAAGTTACCCAATAGACTAAGGGGCAAATGATTTTTAGGCCATATTGGTTTTGAATTTAACTAAAAGGCCATCTAGTTTTTTAGTCTTTCTAAATGGCCTTATTTTTTATTAAGACAAACTAATGACAATTAAACATTAATCATAGCTTAATTAGAATTAATGAAGTATTGTGTAATCTTTTAAAAATTATAATGTCTTTAAAAACCTGAAATTCTTACAAACAAACCCAAACATAACATCTTCTTCTTCTTCTTCTTCCCGCCATTAACGCATCCCTCCCCTGATTGCTGTTTATTTTAAGCNTTTGAATTTAACTAAAAGGCCATCTAGTTTTTTAGTCTTTCTAAATGGCCTTATTTTTTATTAAGACAAACTAATGACAATTAAACATTAATCATAGCTTAATTAGAATTAATGAAGTATTGTGTAATCTTTTAAAAATTATAATGTCTTTAAAAACCTGAAATTCTTACAAACAAACCCAAACATAACATCTTCTTCTTCTTCTTCTTCCCGCCATTAACGCATCCCTCCCCTGATTGCTGTTTATTTTAAGCTTTATCTATATCTTCTTCTTCCTCCTTCCTGTACATCTTCTTCTTCCTGCCATTAACACTATCTTCTTCCTCCGCCATTAACATCTTCTCCACCACAGATCCTCCTCCTCCTGACATTTTGTCTAGGTATGTGTATCTCCCCTTTCCATTTTATATTTCGATTTACAAAGATATAATGATGGATTGGGTTTGGGTTATGATTTTGATTTAGTTGTTTAGGTTGTTGGGTTCTGTTTGATGTAATGCAAGTTGAAAGGAGTGAAATTTGTTGAATATTTTCTTGCATTATGGGTAAGCTAGGGGTGGTAGCACCGATTGTAGGTGGAGATGACTGAAAATGTGTTTTAGATATGATGGATCGCTTAAGAGATCTGGTATGTCTAGTATAATGCAGCAGATCATAGATCGCTTAAGCGATCAGATATATGGCTGAAGATCGCTAAAGCAATTTGCTATAAGTCTGGTGCATGGCAGTAGATCGCTTAAGCGATACACCAGATCGCTCAAGCGACTCTGCAGATGCTTTTTAAAATCTTTCAACCCTTAAATACATCAGTTAATAATTTTTTTTCTTGCATTATAGGTACTTGGCTATTATTAGACATGGGACAAGTTGTTTTGGGTGTTGAATATTTGGTGAGTGGGTAGAGGAACAAAGTTGCTGGAAGTGGATTGAGAAGAGCAAAGAAGTTATACCAATTGCTATGAGCACAGAGGTTAGTTTTGATGAGTTGATTGATGAAATAATTAGAAGAGATGATTTGAGTTGCTCACATAGTGATACAGTTGTTACGTTTGTTTTAAGCAAAGTTCCTGAACATTATAAGGTACCTTCTACTATATTAAAGTCGGATAAAGGTGTGAAGTTATATATGATTGATGTGGGCGATAATGGTTCGAGGCTGATTTTAAGGGTTTCTTTTGTAGATAAACCGTTTGAAGTTGGTTCAAAGGAAGGGGATAACAAGGAAGTTGGCGGAGAGAATGCTGGTTTCAATTTGAACTACGAGGGCACTGGTTTCTTAGTTGAAAAATCAAGAGTAGGCGGTGATTTGGGTGGTGAGGAGGACACTATAGAAGAGGTTGGTCATGTGTGGCATAATGAAAATGTTGAGGAGGAGGACCCAGTACATGTTCCCGCAGATATAGAGATTCCTTTAAATACAAATTATGCAAAATGTGTAGTTTGTGAGTAAGAGAACACTATGGTCCTTTATGCAGGTTCAAAGGGGGCAATTGCAGGTAGTAGTGAATCAGCTCATGTTTTTATGATGGATCGGACTTACGCATAGGGTATTTATTTCACAACAAAGAGGAAGTTGTGAGAAAGCTAAAACTTGTTGTCGTGAGAGATAATTTTGAGTTCATCACCAAAAAGTTTAATTCATCGATAGTGACGGTTGCATGTCGTGACCGAAGGTATAAGTGGCGGGTTTATTATAGAAGGTTGGCGGAGTTCGAAAAATTTATTGTTAG